TGGAAAAAATATTCAACATTGCCTCAATCATTTTAACATTATAGCTGTGAAATGTGCTAAGTAAGGAAAAGTGCAGTCTGCAGTGAGGGTGTAAGATGAAGGGGACTAAACAAGTCCTAGAGGATCAGGGGCAGCATCCTTTGAAGGAAATTGTAAACTGAAACCTAAAAGGTGGAGGAGTTAGCATGTGAAGGGGTGGAGGTGGGAGGTCACCCAGGCAGAGGAAGCTGTTCATGTAAAGACCAATGCCATGAAAAAGATGGAGTACTGGCAAGCTGAAAACAAGCCAGGGTGGAGGGGAGTGATCCAGGGAAGGTGTGATACATGGTGAGACTGGAGAGATGTAGGCAGGGGTAAGGCCCTTAATCGAAGGCCACAAAAAGAATCTGGAATTATCTGGAGGGAAGTGGGAAGTCACTGATAGGTTTTAAGCAGGAAAAACATGATTTTTGGTAAATATCATACAACAGTGACCTTTGTGGAGAATAGGTTATTGGGTGAAGGATGGTGGTAGGGAAGAGGGTTAAGAAGCTCTTGCAGTTAAGGCAAGAGATGGAGCAGAGTGGGAGTAGAGATGGAGAGAAGTAGATGTGTTGAGAGATAATGGTCAGGGCTTGGTAACTGACTGGATGTAGAAGGCAAGGGGTAAGATGGTGTCAAGGATAATCCCCAGACTTGTGGCAGGAACAGCTGAGTGCATGGACATACATATACTGAGGACAGCCTTGGAGGACTAAAAGACTTGGGAGAACATCAGTTTGGGACATGTTAAGTCGTCCATCTGGAGGTATCAGAGACATAGATGTACAAGTGTGTAGCTCAGAGGAGGAGACTGAACTGGAGGGTTGGATATTTGGGAAATGGTGACATGGAGCTGGTACACGAAGATGTGGGCCCAGATGAGATCTTCCAGAGAGAGAAGGTGCAGACTGAGGAGGGAGGAGGAGCAGTGCTGAGCCTGAGCTTTGCTGCCACATTTAGAGGGAAGCAGAGGAGAGAAGGCCAGAGGAGGGAGCCTGGGAAGAAATGGCCAGAAAGGTAGAAGAGAAGCAGGAGGGCATGATGCTCCGAGACCGGTATTGATGCTGCCTGAACGGGCAAATATTAGGTGAAACCATAAGAAGTTGCCTTCTTCTCTTTTATCCTTTTTCTTCTCTTCCCCTTCCTTTCTTCTTTTCTTCCTTTAAAAAAAAAATTTCTGTGGGGGAGGTAATTAGTTTTATATATTTATTTTTTAATGGAGGTACTGGGGATTGATCCCAGGACCTCGTGCATACTAAGCATGCACTCTACCACTGAGCTATACCCTCCCCCGCATCTTTCTTTTTTAAGACCAAAACCAAGTAATATTGGCAAGCTCATATTTAGACCAAAACCTGAAGAAGCAACTCATAACCTTAGCCTGAGAAATTTTAGTAGAGAGGTTGAAGCAGAAGCCAGACTGAAGCTGGGGAGAAGGGGAGAGAATGGAGAATAGTAAGGGAATAGAATCAACAGGACTTGGTGATTGACTGATTGTAGCAGGTGGGGTTGAGAGAGGGTGAAATCAAGGGTAACCCCCAGGTTTCAGGTTTGGCAGCTGAGTGAGTGAATGGTTGTGTCACTCAGTGAAACAAGAGGAGGTGCATGTTTGGAGGGAGGTGTGCACAGATGGGGAGGATATAGTAAGTTTGGGGCAGGTGGAATTTGAGATGCCCCTGAGTCTTCTGAGTGACATGATGAGCTGACATTTGGACCTATGTGTCTGGAGCAGTTCATTACCACCTACGTGTTCCTGATTCCCAAATAGACTTTAGGGAGTCAAAAACATATAGGTGGGAATGAAATAAGTAAATAAATATTTATCAAGCACTAAGTGCGGACATTTTTCTAGGTGCTAGGGCTATACCAATGAATAAGACAAAGCCTCCCCACCCCCCTCACACACCTCCCTCTTGGAGCTTATGTTCCATCGGGGAAGGTAGAAAATAGGCAAATAAACATAAAATAACATTAAGCTGTATTATATGCTGTATAGAAAATAAAGTGGGGTAAGGGATTGGGGAGTATGAGGATGCTTGTTTGGTAGGTTAGTCAGGGAACGTCTCTGTGGAGGCACCATTTGAGCAGAGCCCTGGCGGAGATGAGAGGTCAGCCATGTGGATATCTGGAGGAGATAGGTAGGAAGAAGCTGGGCAAGTTTGAGGAACAGCAAGGAGGCTGGTGGGGCGGGAGTAGAGTGAGCAAGGAGGGAGTGGTGAAGTTGGAGAGGTAAGCAAAGGCCAGATCATGTAGGGCTCCGCAGGCCTTGGGAAGGAGGAGGGAAAGCCCTCTGTAGATAGCCCCAAGCTGCTAGAAGGGCAAGGACTGGGCAGGAAGAGAGAATTCATGAAAGGCTTCTCCTTCTATCTGGGCCCCAGAGCCAGAAAAGCCCCTTTGTGCAGAAGGTGGGTGGCCCATTCTGGTTGGGGGAATGGCTGTGCTCAGTCCTGAAGCCTGTGCCTAGAGGGGCTGGACAATGGGCCCCTTGTGGTTGGACTTGGGGGCCAAATGGCTCTCTCAATGATGGGATTCCTCAGCCAGGAGGCATGTGACCCCAAGACCTTGGCTTCTTGCCAGAGGGTCTGGGCCTATTGCTTGGGAATGGGGTGGGGAGATGGGAAGAGGTCACGGGGTGGGGTGAAGGAAACCTCCACTCTGGTGACTTTCTTCTGAGACAGTGTCCTGCCCTGTCTCAGGCTGGAGGAGGTGGAGAGATAGACAGGGAGGGGTTGTAGCTCTGCTTGAGAGAGCGGGGGAGGGCTGGAGAGCTAGAGAGCTGGAGGCTATGGGCAACGTCAACAAATGGTTTTCACAGCAGGGCAGGAGGGAGGAGCTGGCTGCCCCTGGACCTAGTGAGTAGAGGGAGGCAGAAAAGGGCCTGACAAGCCTCCATCTTGTGTCCCTTCAGAAGAGGAGAGAGCATGGAGCTGGAGAGGATTGTCAGTGCAGCCCTCCTTGCCTTTGTCCAGATGCACCTTCCAGAAGCTGACCTCAGGTAGAAGCTGCCCTCCTAGAGGGATCATGGTAGGGCCCCGGTTGGAGCTGCTGGTCAGTACTCTGGGCCCTGGCCAATGGAAAGACTGGGGTGGGAACTACTCAGCCCTATTCCTGATGTGGGGGTACTGATTTTGATTTGCTGGTATGGCCTTACCTCTCAACCTGTTCCTGTCACCCTTGTTGACCAAATGGGAAACCAAAGCTCTGAGGGAGGGTGGGATACTCTCTGGCTTTAAGGCTTACTGTCTGGCTCATGGACCCCATGAAGTCAAGGGCTAGAGTTCCAGGCTAGGTAGGGATGCTGGAGGTAACAGGGCTTGTCCTGTTTCCTTCCTACAGCGGCTTGGATGAAGTCATCTTCTCCTACGTGCTCGGGGTCCTGGAGGACCTGGGTCCCTCAGGCCCATCAGAGGAGAACTTTGATATGGAGGCCTTCACTGAAATGATGGAGGCCTATGTGCCTGGCTTCGCCCACATCCCAAGGTGGGGCCTGGCTGGGGCCAAGAGAGGGTGGGGGAGCTGGCTGATCGTGGAGGGTGGGCATAGCTGTCCTCTTATCACCCCCCTTGTCTTTTCAGGGGTACAATAGGGGACATGATGCAGAAGCTCTCAGGGCAGTTGAGTGGTGCCAGGAACAAAGGTGAGTCTGGGAATCAGGCACTTGGGTGACTCAAACCCTCACCCCCAAAGCCCTGGCAAACCTGTTGCTCTCTCTGCCTTTTTAAGAGAACCTGCAACCAAAGAGCTCTGATGTCCAAAGTCAGGTATCCATATCCCCAGAGCCCTTGCAGAGGCCTGAAAAGCTTAAAGAAGAGACTAGGTCTTCTCCTGCTGCTGCTGCTGCTGCTGGAGATACCCAAGATGAGGTACTGGTAGAGGAGGTTACCAGTGAGGGAGCTGGGGGGCAGGAAAAGAGGAAGTACTACCTTTTGTCAACATTTATGCCCACAGGCAGCCGGCACTGAGGAGGAGCTGCTGCCGGGGGTGGGTGTACTCCTGGAGGTGTTCCCTACCTGTTCGGTGGAGCAGGCCCAGTGGGTTCTGGCCAAAGCTCGGGGAGACTTGGAAGAAGCTGTGCAGATGCTGGTAGAGGGGAAGGAGGAGGGGCCTCCAGCCTGGGATGGCCCCAACCAGGTATCCTCTGCTAGACCCCCCCACCACGTGTAACCTGAGCTATGTTCCACCTTAGTAAGCCCCCGCCCCTAGCCTATCCCCATCTGCTTCTCCTACTGGTGCCCTAGGGCCTAGACTGGGCTTCCCTCTTTGCAGGACCTGCCCAGGCAACTCAGAGGCCCCCAGAAGGATGAGCTGAAGTCCTTCATCCTGCAGAAGTGAGTCTGGGCTGGGCTGGGTCAGGCTGGGCCCTTAGAGGGTCTCCCCAGAATGACAGGAGTTTTACCCAGCTAGTTTTTGGCAGGTACATGATGGTGGATAGCGCAGAGGATCAGAAGATTCACCGGCCCATGGCTCCCAAGGAGGTGAGACAGTTGGGGCTGCTAGGGGTGTGGAGTGGGTCCAACTGTCTTCTGCTACTCAATGTGTTATTGCCTGACAGGCCCCCAAGAAGTTAATCCGGTACATCGACAACCAGATAGTGAGCACCAAAGGGGAGCGATTCAAAGATGTGCGGAACCCTGAAGCTGAGGAGATGAAGGCCACATACATCAACCTCAAGCCAGCCAGAAAGTACCGCTTCCACTGAGGCACTCGCCAGACTCTGCCCGAGCCTTCTAGGCTCAGATCCCAGAGGGATGCAGGAGCCCTACACCCCCATACAGGGCCCACCCAAACTCCTGTTCCCTTTCTTTACCTAATTCTTGCTCCACAGTGTTAACCTCCTCTTGGAGCTGCCATGGGGACAGTAAAGGTAGCTCCGGGAAGATGTGAGTGCATTCTGGTCATTTCATAGCTGGGGTACTGTGTCTATCTGACCTCTCCCAACCTCACAACCCCGATCTCCAACAGGGCAGCAGCACCAGGCAGAGGGGGTAAAAAGCTCTTTATTGGAAGCTTCAGGATTGGGCAGGGCATTGGCCTCTCACCTGAGACCCCCACAGTTCAGTTTCCTTACAGTTCATAGGCCCTGCCACACAGTCCAGCTGTGCCCATCGGCAGGCGTGTCAGACCTGCAGGTTGACAAAGGGTGCAAAGCCCGCCATGTCCTGCAGCAGCACCAGCGCCTGATGCAGGGGCGGTTCCACGTCGATGTCGACGCCGCGCTTCCGCAAGCGGCTCAGGCTGGGCTCCGCCACATGGTGGCAGTGCCGCACCCGCAGTGAGCGCAGTGCCGGGCAGTACTCCGCCAGTGTCCTGGGGGAGGAGAGGGGTGAAGCTAGGGGCATGAAGCCGCTACACCCACGGTGGGGGAGCCAGCAAAGCTCCGTCTCCCTCCAGCTCGGGGCATACTTCTTTCCTCCGGACATGAGGGAAGGGGCCTGGATTGGAGTCATACACTCAATGCCTCCAGTGAACCGGAGACTTCCTGTCTCCTAAACAGCGAAACTGCTTCTCAGCTGCGACCAGGATTGCAAGGATTTCCCCGCGTTGAAGAAAAGCCAGAACTCTTTGTATATGAAATCTCCCCGTGTGTAAATACTGATTGAAAAAAAGTTTTTAAACTCTGGGCTCCCCTAAGTTAGGCATTCCTAGAGGCTCTTCCTGTTCAGAATAGGGGGGGCATGGTAGCAGGGAGGTCCAGAAACCTCAGTTCTGCCTTTTGACAGCTACAGCCCGCTTCTACCCCCAGAAGCTTAAGTAAGTGACTGCCCTCCTCCCATCCCACCGACCCCAGGCCCAGGCACCTGACACCGTCGCTTCCGACGCGGAGGCAGCCGGTTAGGTCTAGGTGCTCGAGTTCTGGGCAGTTCCGAGCCAATTCCTGGACAGCGGCGTCCCCCACATTGGCATTGACCGCCAGCGAGAGGATGCGGAGGCCTGCGCCGCGCCTCTGCGCCAGGTACACGATGGCCTCATCCTTGATCTGTCGGCAGGCGGTGAGGTCCAGCTCCTCGAGGGCTGGACAGCGGTCAGCGAGGCCGCGCAGTGCCAACCCATCTACCCAGTCACAGTGCGCAAGCGATAGGCGCTGCAGGCGGGGGCAGCCCTCGGCCAGCGCCCCTAGCGTGCGGCGGCTCAGTTGCCCGCAGCCGGCCAGCGCCACACTCCGAAGCTGCGGATTCCGTGCCAGCACCGGCACCAGATCGTCGTCCGACAGCCATTCGTGACATGGCGCCAGCGCCAGATCCTGCAGCCCCTCAGCGTCCCGCAGCAGCCAGGCCAATGCGGCCCGCGGGATCTGTGGACCCACCTGCGGGCGGGGAGGCACCTTGACTCTCAGCTGGTACCGGGGTCAGACGCTGCCTATCGCCCCTAAGGAGTTCTTTCCTGGCAGCAGGTCGCCCTCGGGGCTTGACATCTGCCCTCCCAGGAGAGACCCCACGCACCCTCTGAGTTGATTCCTGGTACTCGCCCTTTGAGGGTACTTCACGCTGGATGGATTGCTTTCCGGGCATTCCTGGAGGCCCAAGGGGGATCCGGAAGGGGAGACAGTGGGGCTGGGGGTTCAGGGCTGGGCTGGAGGCAGGGCAAGGGCGGGACCCAGAAGGGGGCGGGGCTCTAGCCACTGGCTCACCTGAGCGGCGTCGAAACGGCGCAGCCCAGCCAGGTGCAGCTGCACCAGCGCCCGGAAGGCCCGGCTGACGCGCTGCAGCCGGAGTAGCTGGCGCAGTGGCACCCGGCTCAGGACGTGTGGGAGCAGCACGTCTTCCCAGGGCAGGTCCAGGAGCCTGCGGGTAAAGGGGCGTTGACGGCGGCGTCCCCGGGCCGCTGTTACCTGCGAGTTCACCTCCGTTATGCTCCTGAGCCCCGGCACCTATAAGCGGCCCCAAAACACGGCCCTGGTTCGGCTTCCCTCCACCAGGTCCTTCTTCCCTCTCTCGGCCCCTCCGCTGCTCGGTACCTGACGGCTCCGGGCTCTTGCTCCCCTCCGGACGGCTCCATCGGTGGCTCCATCGGCGGTCTACTGCGCGTGCGCAGTAAGGTCTTCTCGCTTTGGCCTTGGAGCGGCTGCAGCGAACCCGCCTACTTGGGCTGTAGGGACAGACCGATTCAATCGAGTGCCGGCTCACTGAGGCTGCTATCGGAGAGCATTCCGGACGGATACTGAAACTGAGGGCGGAACAGACCGGTGGTGTAACTTTAGACCTCGCCTTCTCTGCTACAGAGCTTGAGACGTGAGGCTGAAGAACACGGTGATGCAGCAGAGACTGGCTTCTTTTTTCGTTTGGGGCCAGTGGTCGCCTCTAAGGAAGTGATGGGAGGAGCAGGCAAAGCCTAACGTAAAGGGGCGGGGCCAGGACTCCAAGGTTCTGGGCCTTACTTTCTCTGCCCTCTGGTCGCTTTTGGCGAGTTTGAAAAATGGGGAGAAACTATCCAGGCTCTTACTGTCTGGCACGTAGTAGATGCCCAATAATTGTTGAATGTATTGAATGGGCAAAGCTGGAATTTTTCTTCCTTCATCAAGCAAACTTGCCCCAATTTTCCATCCCTGGTTAACTGTGAAGTACAGAGCTATCTAGCCCTTTCCACTCTTTGAAGATTTGGAACGGGTATACACTTTGGTGGGAGAGATATAAGAGGCGCAAAGAAGGATTATATCTCCAGCCAGGTCCCTTTCCTTTACCCAGAAGGTCTAGAGCCCTGAAAAGAATGAGTGCTCAGTTCAGCACGCCAGGAATACTGCTTCTCGGTTGGCCTGGGGTTTTAGCTGTAGGGTCTAGGGCTGGGTCCGCCCAGAGGTAATGACACCCACCAGAGCTCTGAGCTCAGAGACTCTGGGCTGTCCACTCACAGCATCCCCAGATCCTAGTTCAAGGGTCTGCTCACTTTGGGGAACCCCTGGAGCAGTGTTTTCCCCATCATCCATTGGAAGGGAGGGTGTGAAGGAGGCTGAGGGTTACTGCTGTCCCTGAGAGCTCCCCCTCACCAGCAGGGTTGCGCTCTCCCTTCGTCCAACCGTTTCGCCTGCCTCTTCATAAGGAAAACTGCTTCTCAAACATTATCTTATCAGGGCTTTGGGCTCCTCTGCAAGGTGAGCAGGTCTGTTCTGTCACTCCACTTTAAAGGTGAAACTGAGGCCCTCGAGTGGAAGTGCCTTGTCCGGGGTCAAGCGCGTCGGGATAAAGAACTTAGGCATTCTGATTTTCCCCGAATTCCTTTCCTACTCCTCCACCTTCCTCCACCCCACCCACCATGCAGCGAGAAGGGAGAAAACAGCATCGCGGAAGGACCAAGAAGGGTCAACTTAGGTGAGGGACTCGCTCCCTCTTCTTCCGCCTGCTTGGATAGGGGTAGCTGGGAGGACAGATTTCTGCTCTAATAGAGCCAAGTGGTTGCGCACCACTTCTGGCCGCGCGCCTCCTCCTCCTCCTCCTCCTCCTCCTCCCAGTTTTGTTCACGCTTCTGCGCCTGCGCAGTGCGACGAATCTGGCGCTGTCCCTTTCAGCACCACGCGGAGCCCGCGCCTCTCCTCCCCGCGGTGAGCCCCGCGCGCCCCCGCCTCGCACGTTCTTGCGCCCGTTGACCACCCGAACAAACCCCTTCTTCCTTCCAGGGTCACCATCTGCCTGCCCTGGTGTTCCCAAGGAAAGCAGTTGCCATAGTAACTCTAGCAGTGCTTTCTTAAAATAGCTGGGCCCGCTTCTACCTTGGCCAAGGGCACAAGGGTTGCCTGTTTCCCACTTTCTCCAGTCCAGGCGTCATTCCATCTAACCTTTTATCCCCAGACTGGCAGGATGCCTAACCTAAGCAGCAAGGAAGTTCTTTCTGAAGTCTGACTAACATTCCTGCTGCTGCATCCTGGGCAAGTAGTCAGGGTTTCATCTCCTGGGTCCAAGAGTCAGAGCCCCCAGAGGGTTTGAGGCGCTGTTCCCTAGATCTCTCTTCCATAAGCTGATAGTCTCCTGGATTTAGGGGGCGGGTCCAGTCTACACCGGTACAGTGTGCTAGCGCGGCCGCGTGCTCGTGGGGGCGGGAGCGCGTGTGGCATGTAACAGGTCATGTGGCAACCTCCTAGGGACACGCGTGGGGTCTGGAGAGGGACACGCGTGTGCATCTGGGTTCTGCGTGTGGCTCAGGAGGTGGTGGACGAGAGGGACGTGTACACGATTGGGGTGGGGCATGTGATGGTCAGAACAGAACCAGGGGTTTCATACGTCCTCCCCCTCGTCAGGGGCGGGTCTCAGGTTGGCGGGAGAGCCCAGCGGCGACCTAGCGTCTAAAAGGGGGGGCAGCCTCTGGGCCTCAGGGCCCTGGGAGAGGGCGGGGGTGGGGGGTGGGTGGGGGGATTAGCTCTGCCTGAGCCGCGCGTTGAGGGAGGAGGAGGGACTGAGAGGCGGGCGGGCCTGGAGCAAGCGGGAGCAAGCGGGAGCCGTGCTGCCTTCACAGCTGAGCTGGGCCCAGCCTCTCCCCTGCCTCTCTTCGGCCCCAGCTCCAGGCGAGCAGCGGTGAGTACAGACGCGTCTCGAGTCCAGGTCTGCACTGGGAGCACGATGGGCCCCGATTGAGCTTCAGGAACCTGCCTGGCAGTGTTGCTGCTTCTGACCTCTGCCCCTACCCTGCATTGCCACCAGAGGCCCCTTTACCCCTTTATGGTCCCTTCTGGGCTGGACAAGATCTGTTATACCCTTGGGTTGGAGGGCGGGTGGTGGGAGCCAGAGATGGGTAGAGGGCTTTGGTGCAACCTTCCCCTCCAGAGACCAGTGACTGGTGGGGGTTGGGGGAGAAGGTATATGTCCCTGCTTAAGTATATGTGTGTGTGCATCTGTATTTGTGTGTGATTGTGACCAGTAGGTCTCTGTGAGTGACTAAATTGCCTGTGCCTCTGTGTGCCTTGAAGAATGAGGGCCTGTATGTATATTTGGGTATCTCTTTTTGTGTTCCTATTTGATGACAGAGTGTGTGTAAAACAAGCATGTGCCTTTCCATTACACACATATTTGTTATGACTGTGAGAGTGTATGAGGGTGTGTCTTTGAGCAATATGTGTGTGCCTGTGCCTGTGTGTGCTGGAGGGTGTTGCCTATGTATGTGTTTAGCTATGTACTGACATTATTTGTCCTTATGTGTGTGTGCATGAATGTGTGTAGCTGTATGGAGAATAAGAATATCCCTTTTCCATCCAGCATGTATGTGTTAGGTGAAGAGACTTCAGGCCTTTCTCCTCCCTTTCACCTATGCCTCTCAGCCCTTCGTCTCCCTATATGCCACCCCCATTCTTCTTCCCTTTCCTTCCAGGAGGCCTGAGTTCTCCCTCACTGTATGAGGGGCTTCCATAGAGAGGCTGTGGGAGACCCATGGCTAGATGATGGTGATGGCTGCTTGATACTCATGGTCCTGAGGGTGGGGTAGCTGGCTTCCCCCTCCCCTACCAGAAATAGTTCCAAAATGCCACAGGGACTCTGGGCTCACTCAGTTTCTGAAATAGCTCCCTCTCTTCTCCCAGGGTGATTCTCAGGGCCCCCAGACAGGAGAGGAGCCAGGGGCCCACTGGGGGTATTATTCTTTTTTCCTCAGACCTCCATGGAAGTAGCCCCAGCAGGAGGACCAATTACCCACAGGAGTGGGATAAGTGATGCCATATTCCTAGGGTGGGCTAAAATCCTGGTCCTTAGTGGCTCTAGGCAGCTTTCCCCTCCCTATCTTTGCTCTCCTGCCCGCCCAACACCCTAGCAGTTCACCCCCTACTCCCTTTCCTCTCTTGCAGGCCTGTCTGAAGAGCATGCTGCCCTCTCACTCCCCGCCTGGCCTGGCCATCCCTGCCCCCCCAGCCTGACCCCCGGCCCCAGCATGGCCCAGGGTGCCATGCGCTTCTGCTCGGAAGGCGACTGTGCCATCTCCCCACCACGATGTCCACGCCGCTGGCTCCCCGAAGGCCCAGTGCCCCAGAGCCCCCCAGCCAGCATGTATGGCAGCACAGGCTCCCTGCTAAGGCGGGTAGCAGGTCCAGGTCCCCGAAGCCGGGAATTTGGACGTGTGACAGCACCCTGTACCCCCCTGCGTGGTCCCCCATCACCTCGTGTTGCTCCCTCACCCTGGGCACCCTCCTCCCCTACTGGGCAGCCCCCACCAGGGGCCCGGAGCTCCGTGGTCATATTCCGCTTTGTGGAGAAGGCCAGTGTGAGGCCACTAAATGGGCTACCTGCTCCTGGAGGCTTGAGTCGGAGCTGGGACTTGGGTGGGGCCTCTCCTCCCAGGCCCACCCCAGTCCTTGGGCCTGGCTCCAACCGAAAGTTGCGGCTGGAAGCATCCACATCAGATCCACTCCCAGCAGGAGGAGGCTCAGCTCTACCTGGCAGCCAGGGCCTTTTACATGGGCCACCAGCTCAACCTCAGGTTGGAGCAGATGGTCTTTACTCCTCTCTCCCCAATGGGCTGGGGGGGCCCTCTGAGCACCTGGCCACATTATTCCGAGGACCTGCTAACACTGGACTCCTGAACCAGGTATGTGACCTCCCTTGGGCTCCCTCGAAATCCAGAGTCCCAGCAAAGGCCAAGGCTTGTTCCCTTGGTGGTCTTGAGCCTGTTGGCTCTCTCTGAATCCTTCAGTTTCTCCTAAATCTGTCTCTTTCTTGTCTTCTGTTTGACCCTATGTCTCTGCACTTTCACCTCTGTTCCTGTATATTTTTCTTTCTGTGTTTCTGTGCCATGTTCTTGTGTCTTTATGTCTGGCTTTATCTCTGGATGCCTGTATCTATGTCTTCCTCTTTGGCTTAGGGGGACACCTGGTCCTCACCTCGGGAAGTCTCCTCTCATGCCCAGAGAATTGCTCGAGCCAAATGGGAATTCTTCTATGGCTCTTTGGACCCCCCCAGCTCAGGTAAGGCCTGGGACTGAGGCAAGGGGAACAGGACAGGGCCTTCTCCACAGCAGCCAAGGTATGGTAGGGAGCCTTCCTTTAAGCCTCCCCCAGTCCTTTCCTGGGCTTCTGAGTCAGCTAATGCCTCTCTAGGTCTCACTATTTCCATCTGTGTTATGATGGGGGTTGGGGGATGGCAGCTAGGTTGGGCACCTGGAGGAAGGTGGGTGGTAGGGAGAGGGGATGGCAGGAAATCTTGATCTCTTTGGGTCATTCCTTGAAGTAGAAAAGAGGCTAATCTCCCTTAGGCCCCTCAAAGCTGTTTGACAAGAACTTTTTCCTTTTCTGGGGGGAGGAGGAGGTAATTAGGTTTATTTATATTATTATTATTATTATTATCATTATTATTATTTTTATT